CCCTTCCCTCAAAAAAAAAAAAAAAGCTTGGCACTCTAATTCCCTAGGCCTTCATCAGGTAAGACTGCAGGCAGCCTATTCATGCTCAGAGCAACATACTACTTTTATGTAACAGAAAACTTTCTATCAATGACTAAAATAAACTCCACACGTAGTTCCTACGGCTCACTGAAAACAGGCAAGCATCTTTCCGTGTCTACTAGGGAGGTGAAGCATGTGGAAGCCAGCTCCAGGGGAGTCATGAGAATCAGTACTAACTCCTTAAAGGACAGTGTAGATCCACATTACAACAAAGTCCAGGGTTACAATGGAACTCCCATTTGGCAGCACGGTGCCATGACAAATCCAGTAGAGTTGCTGCTGTCTAAAAACCATAGATATGATTCCCCGGGTTGTTGAGGATTCACAACTCCAGCTGAAACCAATGGGAGCTGCAGATGCTCAGCACCTTCGAGAATCAAGTCTGACACCAATAGGTTGGCTATAAGAGATGAGGAAGATATAGGACAAGAGGAACCTTTGTGCATTACCCAGAAATGCTGTCAAAAACGTAGTCTTCTGAACTCATGTTGGCCATCCGCAGATTTAGTTCAGCAGGGAAGAAAACCTGAAAATACCAATAATTAACTCAGGACAGAGTCAAAGTCAATGGCTGCCAAAACAACACTTTAGATGGACAGCTTGAGTAATTGCTCACTAATAAGTTGTGGCCAGCATGTGCAGTGTACTTGCTTATGGGCCTAGGTCAACAGATACTCTCCAGTAAGTAAGTACTGGATCTCTGACCCAGCTTATGGTAACCTTTTAAGTCAAGCTTTCCTCTAAAATTTATCAACTGACAGACATTATACACATCATCCACACACACTTGGTGAACATGTTGCTTTCAGTAATGGTAACAGTCTATTCAGAGCATGTGGGAAAGCCTGGCTATTTTGTTTGGGTGCCAGAGATGGAGCTACTGAGTGCTCTTGAAAAACCCCCAGCTAGGTACACACTTCATGGTTGCTTCTGACCGATTATTTCCATGCATTATTTAGCCAAAGTGTCCATCATTTGTAAGATTAGCCATTTGCTTTAGAACATGAAATCATTATCAATAGGTTTAATTGACTAAATGGACCTTTCTGGGAAAATCTTCTATTTCTAATCCACTGGACAGATTTCAGGTTTACATAACAATTGGAAGTGGAACAAGATATCCCTGCACAGATTAAGGAGGACACACCACACACACACACGAAACGTAGCTGTTCCTGTACCTCTTGCACTCCTTCTTTGAAGGTCTCTGAGAAGGTGGAGTCTGGCGTGCGCCTCTGGGAGTTCTGAGGCTGAGCACTAGAACTAAACTGATCAGGGTTAAGATTTCGGTCAAAAACCACCACACGCTCAGGAGGTTCAGGGTGGTAAACAGCTGGAGGGATACCCACGGCAAAGCCATGGGGCTGCGTTTCCATTTTAATTGAATGCGTGGGCATTGTTGCAATGGAAACAGTGACAGTGGTATCCGGGGTGGTCTGGTGGCCTCTCTTGTCCATGCCCATTTGAGTAGTGTGAGGAGGAAGAACAATATTGAAAGGTACATTTTTCAGAACCTGAACTCTGTTTTCTCCAGCAGAAATGAGCGATTGTTCTGTCATGTTTGGGAGGCTGTTCCTTTAAGGGAAAAAAAAAATGCTCAATATAAATAGCATCTAAATGGCCCCTTTTCTGGTCAAGAAGAACTAGCAACATTTCTTGGGGTTTTGGCTAAAACAAAGTCAACACTGGTCATCTTACTACTGAAAACCAACTATATTCTACTTAAGAGGAGATGGGGCTATACGATTTATGAGGTTCTCCACCTCTAACATCTATGACTCTAATTTTGAATTAAAAATACAACATAACTGCCCATAAATTATTAATACCCCATAATTCCCCAAGAACACAGGACTCGGATCATCAGCATTTACACACCAAAGGCCACATCAGATATGAGGGACTCATCTAATTGGTTTGCATGCATGTATATGTTCCCCCTGCCATGCTCAGCTCCTTTTGACAGGGTTCAAAGGAAACCAAAATGTGTGGCTGAGCTTTCTATCCTCATCTCATCATTAGAAAAAGACAAACAACAGAACTTGGAGGACCCCAGTCAGCATATGCAGGCCCATTCCTGATGAAAATCAGAACCTAACTAAAGCTCACTTGTGGGCAACTTTACGCAAGCACAGGGAAGGAAAGAAGCATTAAGCCATCTCATGATTCCCCTATAAGAGGGGAATGTGATCAGGCTGTGTATGGAGGGAAGAGAGAAGCTGTTGCTGGACTGTTCCTCCTCTTCTCACACAAGTGGATGGAGGTGAGAAGTGGGCAGGGCCTTAGCCCTAAGTAATAGTTCAGTCCCAGGGCCAGCACAGCTACCTACTGCCCTTTCCCACACGGCCCCCGGCAACTGCAGTCTAACTCAGTGGCAGCCAACCCTTTTGGCCCGGGCACCACAAAGTCCTGCCCTGTCTCCAGCTGCCAGCTCAACCCCCTTCCTCTGCTCGATTCCTTGCTCTGCTTTCTCCCCAACCCCCCACCAGATCCACCATGTGCCAAACAAAATAGCTCCACTTGCCACTTGTGGCATGAGTACTGCATGTCAGCCGCTCCAATTTAGCACACAGGCTGCCTGCCAGCCTTGCTCTGTTCTGCTGGGAACAGCCACAGGCCCCCAAATCTTTGTGATGTTGTAGCAGAGCTTCTGCAGATACTGCCACAAAGGTAATATCATTTTAAGCAACCTTCACAGTATATCAGGATTGTACATTCAAGGGACAGGTTTTTAGCAGATATGCAATAATAGACCTCCTAACCTTTTGTTATGATCTTGGTCAGGGTGATCTATATCTGGTTTTGCTGCTGAAGTCCTCCTTTCTCTGGGAACCTGGATGGATCACACATAGGGAAACAAGTTTAATCATTCCTGTCCAAAAAACAAAGTTAGCTAATCAAAACAAAACAAAAAATCTGCTCCTTCCCCCTCTATTTTGGCAAGGTAAGGGAGCCTCACTTTGTGAGGCACTGTTATTTGAAGACGCTGGTTAGTACCTGTAAATTGCTTTAATACAGTCAACTTAAGCCTGCTCCCTCCACTACTATGTAGATCCCCAAAATAATGCACTTTAAGGGTCCTTTGAGGTCAGTTTTTCCATGAGCCTTCCAACCTGCAACTCTCTGCTAAGAGCAGAAAGATAAGCCATTTTGGTGATTTGTTTTGGACACTTTCCCCGAGAGCCAGGCTGAGATCACTATGCTCATTTAATAATGGTAACACAAGACTTGGCCTTCCAAGGGCCTTTCATAGTCACACAGTAGAATGCAAATGTTAGGCAATGTTCAAGGTACCCCTGTAAAGCTGAAATCATCTCCATTGTGGATGGGGAAAGCAGAGAAAGGCTGGAAGTCTGCTCTTCAGAAGTTCTGAGCACCCACAACTCAGGGTAAGGTCAGCAGGTGTGCAGCACCTTCAAAAAACAGGCCCAGAGCAATTCATCCAGAGTCACATAGCAAATCAACAGTAGCACGCAAGTGATATCTAAATGGTAACACACCAATTCACACAGGGTGCGTCCATACAAGTTGCCTAATCAGCTTCGCAGTAAGCATCTTAGTGTCTACACATGCGGTGCTATTAGGAGGGAGTAAACTAATCAACTGTGCTGCAGGTTGGTACTTGTAAATACAAGTATTATCCTACAACAGATGGGAGGGTTTTGTTGCTTTTTTTTTTTTTTCCCCTCTGCAGAAATGCATGTGTAGACGTTGATGGGGCTGGCTGGGACACAAGGGTGCTTCAGGGCAGGGGCTGCCTACCAGCTAGCCCTGCACTGGAGCATCATTGTACCCCAGCCATCCCTTCTGCAGCACGTTAAGCTGCATTGGAGCAGCCCCAGGCTGGCAGGTTGAGCTCCCGGGTCCCCTGCCAGTGGGGGCTGCTCTGACCCAGCTCAACATACTGCAGTCCTGCATGTTCAAATGCAGCACCTGAGAGCAATAAACTCTGGCACAATATGCCCTGGAGTTTATTGCTGTGCATTAATATCATGTGGAGACATGCCCACTATGTAGTAGATTGGTATTTATAAGGTTATGGAGTATTAAACATGTTTGACAACAATAAGCACATTGAGTGGGTAGCGTTATAGATAACTGTAAGCCACAGTGATAAGCAGCCTACTGACACAATAGATTCTAACGATTTAATTAAAAAAAAAAATTAAACAATTATTTAATAGCTCTTTAGAAATATACCCTCATATAAATGGTGACCCTCTTCCAGTACAGACTCTGTGGTTAGACAGCTTGGTAAGGATTTACAGCATTCAGACTGAATTTGACCTGGCAAGAGGGAGGCAATGACCTCTGCCATATCTATTACTTAAAGCAAGCCTTGCAGTTCTCTACACTGCAACTTTGTACAATAAAGAAAAAGCCTAGTTACAGTCTCAGCCTGCAGAACTCATCCTATCAGCATTCCTAAACTGAGCAGTTTTAAAGCTGTGCATTGTCATGTACGTTAGAAACTTGCCAGTAGTCTCATGATGCTTGTCAATAGGACATTTCTGTCTAGTGCTCCAAGTTTAAAAAAGGGTTACTCTCTCAACCTGCCACTCTGTTTGGGCCTCCAGAGACATTACTTATTATTTGATTATTAACTCATATGTTTAAGTTCCAGGCTACTCCAAGACATACTACAAGTCATGGTACACTAATGGCACACCATTTGAATGATTAAAAACTAATTCACTGAGTCATTAGAAGGAATTATCTCCACACCTTTCAGCACTGAAACCTGCTGCATAAGCACTATCACATGTTGTACCTTTCCTCAAATAAATACAAGTTATTTAAGCAATATTGGAAATGTTCCCCCCCCCCCCCCCCC